ATCTCAACAGACAATTTAGGGGAAAGAATAGTCTTTCTCACAAATGATAATAGAATAACTGGACATCCATATGCAGAAATTAACTTGAATTACTACTTGATATCTTATATAAAAATTTATGCAAAATGGAACACATATCTAAGTGAAAACCTAAAACTATAAGATTTCTAGAAGAAAATACAAAAGAAACTCTTTGTAACCTTAGATTAGGTAAGATTTCTTGATACAGCACCAAAAGCACAATCCATAAAAAGAAAAATTGATAAACTGTACTTCATCAAAATTAAAACTTCTCTTTGAAAAACACTATTAAGAGAACAGAAAGACAAGTCACAGACTGAAGAGAACATGTGCAAAGGATAATACTGAGAAAGAACTTGTATCCAAAATACATTTAAAAGCTTTCAAAACACAATAGGACAATTTAAATTTATAAAAATTGGGCAAAAAAACATGGACAGACTCTTCACCCAAGAATATATATATATGGAATGTAAGCACATGAAAAATGTTCAACATTACTACTCATTAGGGAAATGCAAATTAAAAGCACAATGAGATACCGCTGTGTATCTATTAGAACAGCTAAAATTAAAAAGACTGACCATCTCAACAGTTGGCAAGGATGGAGAGGAAGTGGAACTTTTGTATGTTCCTGGTGGGAATGTAAAAATGTACGTTAACCTTGGAAAAACATTTGTCAGTTTCCCAACAAGTTAAGCATACACCTGCCACATGATCCAGATATTCCACTCCTTGGATTTATCCAAGAGAAATGAAAGCCTATGTCCATTCAAAGCTTTATACACAAACGTTTTTAGCAGTTTTATGTGCAATAGCCAAAAGCTACAAACAACCCAAATATCCATCAGCCCGTCCAAAAAAGTTGTGGTGTATCCATGCAACGGGCCAGTAGTTAGCAGTAGGAAGGAATGAACTACCAGTATATGCTACAACATAGTGAATCGCAAATAATTATGCCAAGGGAATGAATCCTGATTTTTTTTTTTTTTTAGAAAAGTATATACTACATGATGCCATTTACATGAAATGACAGGAAATACAAATTATTGTATAATGACAGAAAGCAGATCAACAGTTACCTACAAATGAGGTGGTGAGAAGGGAGGGGTGCAAGAGAGGGATCTCAAAGTGCAGGAAAAAACTTCTGGAAGTGATGGATGGTTTCGCTGTCTTGATTATGGTGATGGTGGCACAGGTGTAGATACATCAAACTTATCAAAATGTACACTACAAATATATATGGTTTATTGGCATGTCAATTATACTTCAATAAAGAAGTTTAAAAAATTAAAAATAGATGCAAAAATATATTTACAGGTACACATGTTCCTTACAATTTATGAAGCTACAGTATACACATGCACACACAAAATGACAATGGTAGACAAACTAATACTTTATGCACAAGTGAAAAAACATTCTCTTATTTCCATTCTCCCTTTCCTTATTCCCCTAATTCCCATTTAAAGAAGAAAAGGGGGAAAAAAATCAATTACACCATAGCCTAAATAAGGAGAAAGAAGAGCGAATCAGAAGTAAACCTTTGGGGTTTTTGTTTCAAAGTATAGACAGGCAGGAAGGAGCAAAGAAGATAAATGGTTATCTGGCAGAGAAGGAAAGTTAGAGGGTGCTGAATAGAAGGTTGGGGGCAGATGAGAACATTTAGAAAAACCATAGAGGGCATTTCTTTCCCAATAAAAATGAATTTGTATCTAAATATCTTCTACAAGTTACTTATATCACTGCCATATGTCTAGCTAGGCAATGCAGCATGAAAAATAAATATTGTTAACATTAGGGAAACAGTAATAAAAATGACAAGTTCCCCATCCAAAATTTATTGTACTGAGTCACTGCATCTCTCAGCCTCCCACCCAACATGTTTTTAAGCCACCTTTCTTTGCCACCCGTTGGGATCTGTTGGGGGATATAAATCATAATATTTACCTAAGCTGGCATTTCCTTCCCCAAAAGTCCCATTCCAATTTCCAGGCTTAAAAGAAGTTTCCTCCAGGTAAAATCATTTTACTAGAAATATCACAGAATAGCTCATTTGTCCCTTCACAATGGGACACTGTTGTAATAAACACATTGCTGGAAATCAAAATGATGGTCTGCATAGATAAGAAATCATTCGAAGGGTTGGTCGTCAGTCCCCTAAAACACTAGAAGTTTAAAAAAAAAAATTGTCTCAAGTCAGTAGAAGAAAAAGGGAGATGCCATACATAGGTCCGCGGCACATCTTTTTCCTTCTCCAAGACCCTGGAGGATCTGCTTCTTGTTTTAGTTTGGTGCTTTGGGGGTTTGGCTGTTTCCCTCCTTCCACCTCCAACCTCCCATCCAATAAGATGGCTGGGTTATTTGTAGTGAGAGGAATTCAAGGGCAAGAGCTTTTTTTGGGTGAGAAAGGCTATATTCAGCTTCACGCCACGGTGCTGTGAGTGACAGAGCTGGGACTCCAACCTTGGCAGGCAGGCTGGCTTCAGACTCCCTGCTCTTGACCATGACACTGTTAGGACCTCGCCTGCGGAAAGAAACATCCTTGCTTGGGCCATAACCCTGTTGCCACGATGGAGGTAGATAAAATTCTCAGTTTTCTCCCATTTGGTGCATCACCAAAAAAGTGTCAATTACATCCTAATTACTGCATTTTCAGTTGCTAAAAATAACATAGGGGAAAAGAACAGCAACCCAACTTTCAAATCTCCCAAGGCATCTGCCATCTTATGATAATCACTTTATCACATTCAGGCAGAATGCGAATTTTGTTAGGAGTGAAGTTATATAATAATAGCATCTCATAATGTCGTTCTGTAAGCAACGTTTGCTTAAAAGTGGAATTCCATAGGAGGAAGCAACGTAATAAAAAGAAAAAGGCAGAAAAGGCAACACAAGACCAGGGGCAACAAGGAATTAGCTGCAGAGAGCATCAAGATACAAAAAGAAACTGTATATACTAAATAAAAAGATCCTCTAGTGTATTAAACTAATTCCTCCCACAAGGAAAAAGAAAAGAACCATGTGGAGCAAGGGGAAAAAAAGGACACGATTTACTGCCAAAGAGTTGGATTTTTACCCTCAGTTTCCCACCAATAACTGAGTCATGCTCGTCAAACCCTTTCCCTGTACGAGGTATGAATTCACTGAACAGGAAAAGGTATTTAAAGCTACCTCTCAGAGAGGCAGTACTTCTGCAGGTAACGTTAACATATGCAATTTATTATAATTTTATATCCCTTATTCATTCTTTCCTTGATTCATCTGCAGGCTTTCTCAGCCTCAGCACTACTGACATTTTGGACCAAATAATTCTTTGGGGAGAAAGGCGAGCTGTCCCATGCATTGCAGGAAGTTTAGTAGCCCATCCCTGGCCTCTATCCATCAGATGTTACCCCTCCGGCAACGGTGACATCTAAAAATGTCTCCAGACATTGCTAAATATCGCCTAGGAGGCAAAATCATCCCCAGTTGAAAACCACTGCTCTAATATTTCATGAGCAGGCACAGCTCTAGCTGCTGCCAATAACTGTCATGAACAAGACAAATAAAATGCCTATCTTCAAGGAGCTTACATTCTAATCCTAGAGTAGGGACTAACAAGATTCATTTT